CGCCAGTGGCCGGTTGTAGCCGTCATCTACGGGTATTACGGTTATAAAAATTCTGCCGGAGGTTCCGCTTAATTAAGTTGGCTTCCGGTGTTGCTTTTACCAAGTGCCGCAAGCATTAAATACAAAACCCGTAATTTACTTCAATACACAAAGACAAGAAAAATACTACTCTTCTTAACTAGTACAAGAAAGAATCCTCCATTTATACTAACTATTAGACTCTAACTAATTATTATGCAAAACTTAAATGATGAACTAACTATATAAAATGTCGTAATGATCGTCAAAGTATAATATAGGTTCGATCATTATCTAAATACAAGCTAAACTGTTATAAAGTTACACGAGAAAAAGTTTAATGTTAAAGATTACATCATTTTTCGTAACACCAGCGTAGTTTAAAACGGTCGGAAATTTTATAATATAAAATATATTGCAAGAATTTCTGAATTTCGTTTACCGAAAAAAAAATGCAAGTTACGACACGCCGAAATTTTGTGCACTGACACTTAGATGTATTGAATTTTTTGCTGATTATACACAGGGTTGATTTATTAAAAATTTTTTAAACAGATTTATAATTTTTACAAAAATTTTGTTATAAATATTAAACATAACAATAATGTGAGAGCTAGATATACAGCGAGAACCCTTCTAAAGGGCACGTTTATATCATAGTCATCAAATTAATGAATTTTAGTTTATCTATTAAAATCAAGACATTTACAATTAGTTATTATCAAATACGGTGGTATGTAGGAATTATGTAGGAATTATGTGAACGATTCTTTTGGCAATATTATAGTAAAATTATAGAAATAGTGAAAATATAAATAATTAAATATAACAAATTTAAACTATTTTTATTTGCACCAGATTTTTTACTATAATTTCCATTATCATTTCCGTTACTGGGTGTCTAGTAAATATGATAAAAATTAATAATCAGTTATTTTAAATAACAACCTTCAAAAAATTTTAATTATAAAGATTAACTTACCCCACTTCCGGGTACAGTTGAAGCGAAACCAATTTGTAAATTATCAAAATCAAAAGCAGTAATAACATTTGCTAAAAATGTATCACCAAGTGTCCAATAATTAACATTAATTGTAGATGGTTGTGGTTGTATACCTGATCTACATAGTCCAATTGTGGCATTTCTTCCTTTTACAAATTCAAGGTGGTTAATTTCATACGCTATACTACTTCAATAATTATTGGTTGTC